GTTTTGATCTTAAAATTATCGCGTGGCATCACTGAAATGATATTAAAAAAAATTAGATGAACAAGAACTTCTGGGTTGAACTTAGTCCAAGCTCACAATAATATTTATACATTCAACATAGAATATCCATTCTATAGATATTTGACTGTAATTTGGTCATTTATTTGAGAGTTTTACTTTGACGTTTAAAAGTAATTCCAAAAATAAAATTAAGTGTGTACCCTGTTGAAAATTCCTATGTGAGAACACATATGGGATCCCATCCAGGATCTCTTGTGAGTTCTTATGTGGGTTCCCATACAGGTTCACACATAAGATCCTGTATGAAAAGGTTCCTGGGATGAACTTGCGTGAGATCAAGCGCACGATCTTATGTCTCTGTAAAAGCAATAACACAGGATCCCATGAGGTTTCCTGTGTAGGTTCCTATATGAACAACACGATAAATAGGAACACACATGGGATCTTATCCGAGATCTTGTATGAGTTCTTACATAGGTTCTCACATATAAGAAGATTAATAGGTAGATTTTATATAAAATCTTATTAAGCTGCTATTAATCTTCTTATATGTGAGAACCTATGTGAGAACCTATGTAAGAACTCATACAAGATCTCGGATAAGATCCCATGTGTGTTCCTATTTATCGTGTTGTTCATATAGGAACCTACACAGGAAACCTCATGGGATCCTGTGTTATTGCTTTTACAGAGACATAAGATCGTGCGCTTGATCTCACGCAAGTTCATCCCAGGAACCTTTTCATACAGGATCTTATGTGTGAACCTGTATGGGAACCCACATAAGAACTCACAAGAGATCCTGGATGGGATCCCATATGTGTTCTCACATAGGAATTTTCAACAGGGTACTCTTAGAATACTTCACCCTAAGTCGACAAATGAATTGTCATTGCAAGAATGCTTCAAAAGTCTTCTTTTGAAACAATAAAAAAAATTTTGTTAAGCGCATAGTTCTGACTCGCATAATACGTCTTTATTCTTTGCAAACTTCACTGCAACACATGTGAAAAGTTCGCTGACATTACTAACAAAAGTACTTACATAGAAAGACAGATGGCACTAATGTGATAAAACAAAATAAACGCGATGGCTCAACTCTGATCACTGTTCAACCCTGACTACTCTACCCTAATGTTAGAAAATACTAACTGATGGCTACACACGGTGGGTCCAAACCAAGTTCAACCCAAAGGTCGAGGCACTTCAGATTTTCTTGTGAATTTCTATTCTATTATGTCTCCTGAGAAATTTAAGACAAAAAAAGTCGTTAGACGCATTTTTAAGAAAATCGAGTTTTTGTATTTTTATGTTAAAATCACTGCTACTCATCAATAATTTCAACCCAAAATTCTAAGCTCTTCAAATTTTTTTGTAAATTTAATTTCGATATTATTTCTTTGAGTAATTCAAAACCAACAGAAAAAATTATTATTTGAATATATTTAGTAAAAACTTGATTTTTTGAATTATTATTTACTGAAGTCATTACTTTTTAAATGAATTGAACCGCCGACGACCAAAAGGGTTTAGGCGAGGTTTTCATTGGCCCCTGGAATAGCTGAAAATTCGCTAAAAGCGGGGCCAACGTTAGTCACGTGGAAGCCTTTTTGGTCGCCGGCGATTCAATTGTTCGACTGTGATTGTCACATATGGCGCGTAATAGTCAAAAAGAATATTCTGGATGATCTTATCATAGTTCATATTAAAAAATAATTATTTAATCAGAGTTTACTTTAACCCCAGCAGCACACACTTCTTTTTAACACGAAGCACACTCAGAGTACCTGTGATCCTGTATATTTTTCAAAATAGTGGTACAATAAAACAAAAATAAATTCAATATTAAAGATTTTAAAAAGCGCATTTTTTTGAGACTTAATGAAAGTAATTTTTATTTTTTAACAACGTCTAGGTGAAAAATAACTGAAGCATTGTATTCGGGGAGCATTGGAACGAATTACTAGAACCTAAAACAATTATTTTGAGGTCACAAGAAATCAAATTGTTAACATTTCTTAAAGTAATTTAAGGTTAAACTAAAAGATGACACAGACCCTGTGTGTGTTCCAAGGGTTAATTACTGTTTTCAATTCTATATTAACTACAGTTTAACAAACAAATAAATAATTATTACTAAAACAAAAATAAATTGGAATTATAAAATTAATCTAAATAAAATAAAATTACGGTCAGCAAACAATAGTTTTAAAAATCAATCAATCTGGCCTGAAAAGTCTATCGGCCTACGACATATATTATAAGTGAAGGGTAGAATGACAAAAGGGGTCAAGCGCCAATTCACTGTTTTTACAGGAAGTAAAAAAAACATTTTTAAAAATTTTGCAGGTCATTTAAAAAAAAACTGAGAAACCCGTTTCGATATATTAGTATGTTTTAATAAATAAACAACAATTTGTTGAAATAAACCTACATATTAACGATAAAATTAAAAAAAACTGCGGTGCCTTGAGGTTATATCAACTGCGCACATTTTCTTTAAGCATTAATTATAAAAAAAATATACAGTTTAAAGAAAAACTGGAAAATTAGTTTCTTTCTATGGAATCGATGAAATGAATAGAAAAAAAAATTCCTTTAAAAAATTGTTTGTTTTCAAGAAAATTACGAATTAATTGCTTGCTTTGGAATTGAGCAATACTTTCATCTTTAAATTCAATTGTTTACTTAGTATAATCATAAAAATATTTAAAAATTAATAACAAAATGATTTTAAAATTGTTTAAAATTGAAAATATATATTATTATTAATTTTATTAATTAAAATATTATTAAAATAAAATTAAAATAAAATATTAAAATAAAATCTAAAAAAATAATATTTTTGATCAAAATTGAACAGATGGATAAAAATGTGAAGAATGAAATTCATGAAAACATTTCACCTTCATATCGATGAGACAAAAGTTTTGAACGTTCAAATGAACGAAACTTTTTTTGCAACTTCTTTAAGTACTAATTTTATTACAAAATATTTGTTTTAATTATCTAAAAAGAAGTTATTGATTTAATAATTGTTTAATTTATTGTTTTATTTTACATTGTCATCATAATTTTTAATAATTTATAGATTGAAAAAATATTTCGCAATATTTTTAAATTTGTTAAGTTATGCATAATATTATTGACTCATCACTTTCTTTTGTTTTTCAATCAGGTTGCAATAAAGTAAATTTGAGGCTATTTTATTAATTTAATTTTTATTAAAAACTGATTTATATACGCAATAAAAAAGGAAATCCTTCTACGGAAAAGTGTAAATGAATTTTCTTAATTTTTTTATGCAAAAACCTCATTTTCGATAAATTGACGCTTGACCCCTTTTGTCATTCTACCCTTCAAGTATAATGCCTTGTTTGTGAGAAAAATTACACTGCAGTGACAACCACCTGCTGCCAGTAATATAAAGTTAGCTATCCACGTCACAGAACAGTGGTGCGGGTCAGCATGACTTCGCGCGGACTTGGCACACAACTTTCAATATTTATTTTTTTAAAAAGAAAAAAAATGATTTTCTGCAAAAACAAGATATTTTGTTTTAAAAAATCTCAGCTTTCCAATAAAAATTGAATAATGAAAATAACGTACCCAAAAATAAAAATAAATAAAATATTTTTTAAATTTTTTAAAATTTTGATCAAAACAATTTTTTTTCAGAATGAACTATGACATTCGAAAGTTTGTAAAATATCCAAATGAATCATGTCCTAAAATTATTTTTTTTATTGTTAGAATAATAAATAAACAAAGTATAGCTTGTCACCAAAAAATAAAAAATTGTACCCCCTCCCTTTCTACTTATTTTTCATAAAATTCAAAAATATTTGTCTGATAAATTACCAACGTATAGAACAACTCATAAAAAAATTGGAGAGAGATTAAACAAAATTTTTATTTTGGTTGGACATTTGACTTGAAATTGAGCATATTTGTTGAAAGATTAAAAAAATAAACAAATACAATTCACCTTCTGCTTTCATTCAAGGATTTACAAGCGATTATAATTTACTTATCGCCTGCTTTCAAACGTTAATTATTTTTTATACTGTTCGACAAAATGTATTTTCTTAAATATAATAATTTTTTCCTTTTATTTATTCTTATGATAAACATTATGTACATTGTTGTATTCTTTAATACAAATTTTGAAAATAATTTTTTTAAGATTTATTCTAATTAATGCCTAAAATCTATAATAATTAACTTTATTATTTCCATATTTTCTTTTTTGTTTGTTAAATAATATGACTATTTATCATACGACACTTAAGTTTTCTTCTTATCAAGATATAATCATTTTCCTTCTAATATTGTACAAGATTTTTTTTAGTTCAAGGCATATTTAAAAAAGAAAAAAAAAGTTTAATATTTATTACAATATCTACACATGAATTTAATGAACTTGTGAAAATTATTTTAACACAACTTTTTTATTATTTGCTTTTTAATAATGTAAAGTAAATTACTTCTTGAAAGTAATTATATTTTGCCTTCAATTTCGTTGACCTACAATGTATGATACATTATCTCACGAATTTCCGCTTCTGCCGACATACAGTTTTACGGATATTTACCTTTTTTCACAGATTATTATTCATTGTCATGATGTGACAATGAATAATAATAATAATGAACAAAAGTTTTCATATAAGCTAATTATAAATATATATATATATATATATATATATAATGTAATGCATTTTGTAGCTTTTTTATTAGTAGCACGCGAGAGCGAAATCTTCATTACATGAAGCATTTAACCTTCACTTTCATAGTATATCGAAATCTCTAAATCGTTTATGTCTTTTCTTCATTGAAAATAAAAAGTACCGAAGTTTTGATTATTTTAATACAATTCACGGAGAATAGATAACGAAACCCGCTGTTAAATGAGAATTAAAGAGGGGATCGTCAAACGAAGAGGAATAAATACAAGCTTTAAATTAACTGGTATTCAGTTGCATATCTAGTGTTGTCAACGTTTGCTTGTTTTTAAAAAATATAAATAATTCTAAAAAATCCACATTTAATTTCTTGCTTTTTCTTTTTAAAAACAGAAACAATTCTTGAAGGATTTAAATGGTGTAATTTATTTCTCTAGTCAATGTGTGCCAAACATATATATATTTATATATAAATATTTTAGAAAAAAATTGTATTAAATGTTATCAAGTCGAAATATTAATTAATAATTAAAAAACTAAAACTTAAAGCAGTTTACATAAAACTTAATTATATAGTTACAATAGTGCAATAAATTCAGCAGAATTGGATTGTTCTTAGAAAGAAATTCACCTTCAGCGTATAAAGAATGTACTATATGAAAGAAATGAAAAACATAATATTGTCTTTCTTCATAATTAATAGGTTTCTGAATGCCCAGTCATTTGGTATATCTTTTGGGTTTGTATCAATAGTAAAATATACTCAAAAAAGAGAAATCTTCATAAAAATTTCTTCCAATCAAACTTTCTATAAATGTCATATTTTTATTCAGTATTTGGCAAACCACAACCGATAATAGAGTTGTAAATAATTTTCAAGTTTATTGGAATGTGCCAACTTTTATGTGTCACAAGTATGGTTTGTTTTTTGAAGAAGTGTCGACTCATTTTGGCATTAGACAGAACGATAAAGATCAATTTCGTGGTGATGAGATCTTTATTCTGTACGATCCTGGATATTTTCCCGCCTTACTGAAAGACAAAAAGGGTACAAAAAATTAATTTTAAAATCCATAATAAACTTTAATAATTTTTTAATTTAATGTTATCCAATTGATAAACATTTCTTTCTTTGTAGAAAAAGTATATATTTATGTCTTTGTTTCATGAAGGTAAAGTTTGGAGGAGGAATGGAGGAATTCCACAGGAGGGTAATTTGACACATCATCTTCATTTATTTGAGCAGCACGTTGAAGAACAAGTGTACAATAAGTCATTTAGTGGGATAGCAGTGATTGATTTTGAAAGTTGGAGACCAATTTTTAGACAAAATTGGGCATCATTGAATCAATATCGTGAACTTTCAATTGAAATTGAACGTCTGAAGCATCCATTTTTAAGTAATGATGTCATTAAGAATTTAGCTGAGAGAAATTTTGAAACTTATGGTAGAAAATTTATGGATGAAACTTTAAAACTTGCCAAGAAATTACGGCCATTTGCCAAATGGGGTTACTATGCATATCCTTATTGTTATAATTTTGGACCGAAAAATCCATATTCTACTTGTGCTCAAATGGTTAATGAAGAGAACGACAGGTATTTAAGAATTTATAAAATTGAGAACAATTTTTTTTAATTTTATGCAATCTTTAACAGAGATTTGTACAATATTTTTTGTTATTTCTATACATTCCCAGTTATTGATTCCATTAGCTTTTAATTTGATGAATTGTGTGTGTTAGTACACAAAATTCACCAGTTGAAGTTACTACAGTTTATTAACTGTAGCTAAAGTAATATTGAACTTTTTCCTTTAAACATCAATCTTAATCTAAATAACAGCTTTTACACATTCTAGGCATTATTCTCGTTATGTTTTAATTACGTTAATTGCTTTCATTTAACAAACCTCTCGGCAAATTGTAATCGAGCAATTCTAGTACAATATCAAAACTGCTTTAAAAACACATATTTTAATATCCTCATTATTTATATAGATATATGAAAATATTAAAACATAAACTTTTGAAGCATTCATAAGCTCTCAGTCCGAGGATTTCTCGAATATTATAATATTTCTTTATTTTTATTTAATTAAACTTTTATGACATACCGATTCTGAGAAGCAAATGAATTCAAACACGTGGTTGAATGACCATAAATTTATGAGTAGAAAATTAGTTAGGAATATATTTTATTCTATACAGAATTATGAAAATTTATCAAGAATTCACAATCATTTTAAACATTAAATACTATATCGTCAGATTAATTGTTTATTTAATAATCTAAAAAAATATAATTCTTTTATTTATTATTATTTTCTTTAGCATCAAATTCTTCGAAACTATAAATAATCAATTGTTTTAACAAGAAGAAGAATTTTGAAAAGTTATTTTACAAAATAAAAATTTTACATTTTGCTTTACAAAAGCTAAAAATCTAAATATTTATTGGAAATATTCCTTTAATTTAGTTTGAAAAAGCGACAAATACTTTAAAGATAAAAGATAAGAAAATAAGTATAGAATAAGAAATAAGCAAAATAAACCTATAAGAATTTTTTTTCTTTTATTTTCTACTATATTTTGAAAATCTTATCTGATGATATAGTTCTCACGCGTTTCATTATATTGAATAATAGAAATTAAGAATATAATGTCCCTTTAAATTTGGACAATAGCTATTATTCCTTTTGCTGATTTGATAATGAGTGGGTGAGTGATAATTACCTAAACATTTATGTTTATGGTCATTCAACCACGTGTTTGAACTCATTTGCTTCTCAGAATTGATGTGTCATAAAAGTTTAATTAAATAAAAATACAGAAATAATATAATATTCGAGAAATCCCCGGACGGAGTGCTTATGAATGCTTCACATTTAGTGGTTATATACCTTTATGTTTGTCAAAAAAAAAGAATTTTAAAAAAATTTAGTAGCCGTTGTTTAACATTTTTTTAAAACGAAGTTTATTTTATCGAATAGTACATATTTCAATGTATTTGTATACCCAAGTGCGAAAACCAACACGGCCAAATACTGGCTCAGTATTGGCAAAATTGGCCCCGAGCCTTGGCAGATAATATTGGGCCGACTCTTGTGGTGCTATTGCGGTTGGACGTCGGCTGCCAGTCCTCGGCAGACATTATTGGCCCAATATTTTCTACCATGCGCTGAAAAAAGAGTTTGGTTGGTATTTAAGCTAGGAAAAAAATTCCCTGTCTTTTCCCTGGCTTTTTACAGACTTTTCCCTGACCTAAATTACACTAAAAATTTTTTTATTTTTATCAAATAAAATTTATTTTAATACAATTAAATCATTTACCTGTCTAGTATCTACTAAATATAAATATTCTAAGTATAAATATTCTTAACATTTAATTTAAAAGAATTTTTACGGCGTCAAATCTCAAATTATCAAATTTTTATTTAGTAAAATTATATAAAGTAGATTTTCCAGTACATCGAATTTCAAATTAATACAATTTCAATTTAACGGAGTTTATGTCAAGAAAAATTGCATAAAGAAACATTTTTTTAACAGAATTGTCATTAAATATATCCACAATTAACAGAATGTTTATTTAACAAAACTCTTGATTAAAAAAGTTTTTATTAAAGAAAATTTTAATTCTAACTAATTCTTCTTTAACAGAATTCTCATTTAAGAAAAATTCTACTTAGTTCTTTTTTGCTTCCTCGTGGAGGAAGCTTTGTAGTCCTTTCGTTTATAAAACTTTTCAAAGTGACGGAAACAAATTTTTTTCTTTATAGAAACATGTTATATGAGATCCTGATCAATTGTCCGGATGTATGTATGTGTGTGTATGTGTGTGTGTGGATCCCTTTTTTGTTTAGAAGATAACTTTAACAGGTTTTAATGTATTTAGATAAAATTTGGTAGGCTCATTTATCATATTAATATCTCAAATCTGAGGAAGCAAATTTTTTTGCTGATCGTAAAGAGGAAGCAAAATGTTCATGTAATGAACATCTGAATTTACAACTTGTTTTGTCAATTGTTATAGACATTTTCGTTAAATTGAAATTATATTAATTTAAAATTTTAAAAAAGTATTAGAAAAAATGCTTTATAAGAGTTATGCTAAATAGAAATTATTTAAATACAATTTTAGTTAAATGTAAATTCTTCGATATGAAAATTTTACATAATATAAAATCCATTTTATACAATTTTGCTAAATAGAAATTCGATAATTTAAGATTCGACGCCGTAATAATTTTTAGAAGTTAAATGTGGGTATTAGCATTAAATAATAAATTATTCGTACCTATTCATGAATAATTTAATTTATTTGAAGTTGAATCGATAAAATAAAATTGTATCAAATAATTTTTATTTACATTAAAAAACCAAATATTTCACTGAAAAAAATTAATTAATTGTTATCCAAGTTTAAAAAATCATTTATTAGATTCAAAAAATAGTAGTAAATAATTATTTACTTAATGAATATAACATATGGGCGATTCCACGTCAAATTTACAAACAAATTTTTAATTCGGCCAAAAACATTTTTTCTTCATTCCTTATTGAAAAAAAAAGAATACGTATTTTTTTTTTATGGCCAAATTTTCTCACTATGAATTTTTGAAATTTTAGATTTTCAAAAGTAGACTTATTTTCAATTACATGTATCTTTAAAACTATCAACTTTAGAAAAATTTTGCTAAGAGAAAAAAAGTTTAGTTTTTCACGACTTTTAAATAATGTAAACAAAAAAAAAATTTTTAATTTTTATAAAAAAAATATTAGTTTTTTATAAACAAATTAATGTTTTTTACATTTGGGCCCGATTTTTTTTTGTATACCTACCTAGAAGTGTTAAGAAGACTTTAGAAAAGGTTTCAGAGTGGGCCTGATAAGTTTAATAAGTTTAAATAAATATTTAAACTCGGATTGCAAGCTTAATGCGCGCGCGGTGCTTTGTGAGTCTATCTAGTTTGAAAAGAAATTTTCTGTAAGAGACATTTTATATTTTTTTAACTTGTTACATCTGTTTATTACAAAACGGATTTGTTAAAACTTTAAATATAAACATATTTAAACATTGACGTAATTTCGTATTTTACATTCCTCAGAAATATTGTCGTTTTACGTATTTGAGAATTTTGAAAAAATGTTTATATGAATCATTTTAATTATTTTTAATCAGAAAATTTATTTATATTGAGCACAAGAATTTTTTTTGATGATTGGAAGCAATTTTATTGAAACTTTGTGAATATGTTCCTTTATTTGTTATCCAAATGAGATCAATTTTTTCAAATTTCAAAAAATGAATTTAAAAATTTAGTTTTACTATTTTCCTGGGAAAAAAAAATTTTTTTTACTGAACTGTTTTTTTCTTAAAATAGCATCTTTTGCGAGAAATTTGATAAAAAATTAATCTCATTGGATAACAAGAAAAAAGTTACATGGTTTTTTAAGAAAATAACACAAATTTTAAATTAGAGATATCTCCGAAAATTTTGAAAATTTTGAGAAATTGTTTGTGGGCTTTTATTCTGTACAAATAAAGGAACATATTCAAAAGGTTTCAATAAAATTGCTCCAATCATCAAAAATTTTTGTGATCACATTCCATAGAATTTGCTCAACTGCGCCATTACTGGGACAAGATTCATTCCAACCTTTGGAAAAATGACATGTCAAAAAAAATTCAACATTTCAGCCTTTAATGTGCCAATTATGACCCAGTATTGGGACAGAGTTCATCCCAATTATGGCAAATCAGAATTATCAAGTATTGGTGCCCATATTAACCCAGTAATGAAACAGAGTTCGGCCCAATTATGGCAAATTAGAGCTACCGAGAATCGGTGCCAATATTGGCCCAATAATGGGACGAGTTGATCGCCAGTATTGTCCCAGTAATGTTTGCCGTACTTCGGCAAACATTACTGGGCCAATGATAGGCCGTATTAGGAGTCTTGGCTTTTCGCACTTGGGTATACATTTTTATTAAAAAATATTAACCCCTTAAGTGTGAGGCTACGTCTATAGACGTACATTCTAAAGTGGGCTTCCAGTGTGAGGTACGACTATAGACGTACATACAAAAAAATTGATAAAAGGCACAAAAAACAAGTAGATTTACATTACACATACGTTATTTATGGTATTTTCGACGTTAAATCCGAATTTGAAGTCAAATTTTGAAAATTCAATAACCAAAATCCAATATGTCTGCTCAAAAGTAGACTATTTTGAAGGATACTTTTATTACATTAAATCTCAGACAGCATACATTATCTTATCAAACTAATATCTCACATAATTATATCAAAATGTTTTCGAGGTCGCTGATTACGAATATGAAGTCAGATTTTAAAAATTCAAAATAACGGACAGGAAAATTAAAAATTGATCGGATTCGCTTGAAACAAAAATAAAAATTGATCGGATTCGCTTAAAACTCGTTATTTAGGAGTTTTAAAGGTCGCTGAATTTGAGTATGATGTACTCAAGATATATTTTAAGATAGATTTTAAGATATTTTAAGTTAGAAAAAAGTTAGAGACTTTTAACTTAGATGTTTGGAAAGTTAATAAAATTTTGCTTCTGAAT